CTGGCTCCAAGCTTAGGGAGGGATCTAAGAGGCCACATCCCAGAGATGCCCTGAGATGCAAGGGGGTAGCATTGATCTGGCCTGTGCAAGGTCTCAGGGGTGTTGGAACCTGCCTCAAAGTCTTGATGAAAGGTACAGGGACTGCAGTTTCCGACAGTCCATACTAAAACGTGCTGCCTGGTACGTGCTCCCTGGTGGGGCCAGTTCTCCTTTGCAGGGAAATGGGAACATCCCCAGGCCACAGAGGTGCTGGGAGCTCTGGACCTTGGAGGTGCCTCTACACAAATAACCTTCCAGCCCGGAGGTGCCACTGAGGACCAAAACACCTCTGTCCTCTTAAGGCTCTACGGCACCAACTACTCGCTCTACACACACAGCTATCTGTGCTACGGGCAGACGCAGGCCTTGAAGATGCTGCTGGCGGCTCTCTGTGAGGTACTGGAGCTGGAGCCAGCCCCTGCTGACCTCCCCGGGCACTGCTTGCAAGGATGTGCTCGAGCCCCTTCCGTGTCGTGGAGAACACCTTCCGGACGTGGCAGGACCTGGCTGCGTTGCACCACATGCAGGAGGAGAGGCCAGGGAATGCAGGCCCCTGACTCGGCAGTGCCTGGCTCGCACTAGCTGGTCTCTGCTCCTTGTGACCCTAAACAAGCCAGGAGGTGTGGCAGGTGGTAGAGCCCCTGCACAGCTCAGTGCAGAGATGATGGGAGCGCTGAATGGCGATAGGCCAGCAGCAGCGCTCCCCAACGTGGGCAGGGTGCCGCGGGGGAGAAAGGGAGAACTCTGCTGCTGTGGGCAGGTTCGAGCCACGCAAAGGATGTATCCCACTACGCGCAAGTCCTCTTGGGCTCCAGGTCCTGCTTTTTGGGTGGTCTCAGCATGGGGTGGGCTGTGGAGGAAGGGTCTGGCTGCCACCCCCAGCCAAGCGCCACTAACAGCTCCTGCCCCCTCCAGGGCAGCTCTTCTCCCCAGCAGGTATCGCACCCCTGCTACCCAAAGGGATACCAGGAGAACGTCACCGCTGCAGCCCTCTACGACAGCCCGTGTGTCCCCACGCCGAGCACAGCCAGCCCTGCACAGGTCTTCACGGTGACGGGGACAGGAGACCCAGCAGCGTGCAAGACAGCCATCGAGAAACTCTTCAACTTCAGCTGTGGGGCCCACAGGACGTGTGGGTTCAACGGCATTTATCAGCCCCCTGTGCAGGGGCAGTTCTT